CATGTATTTGTCTTGCTGCTGGTATTGATCTGTTCATCTAACTTAATTGTTTTACATGTTTCCAACATATTAAACTGTACTTTCTCTTAAGTATAACTATTGGTCCTTGAATTTTGAGCTTCATTTGTGTTGTTTTAGTAATTGTCCCTGTGATGAACAAAGTTAACTTAATTGTATTGAACAAAACTGTTTGGATTGAACTAACATAAAACTAAATTTTGGAAATTGAACCTGGTTATGATAGTACCACAGTAAAGCACATCGACATGGCCACAGTTTAAAAAACGCCTTTACACCGGATCATCCCGCCCCTGACTTGACCGAATCTATGTTGGACCTCATCACTATCATAATTGCATGTCACACCTTACCTCGCCACCCTCAACTGAGAATAAGCACAATGAAATTACAAGATAAAGTAAAAAATAAAGTCTTACCATACTAATATAGATACATTTGCAAAAGATAGGGGGTATGAGAGCACAGAGGGAAAAAATGCCTCTTAGCTAATGGATTTGGTAATTGCACAGTTGCCTAGCAATTTTGAAAGGTTCCTCGCTGTTGATTCATCTTAAGTTCTTGCAGATAATGAAGCATCAGGCTTTTAGTCTGCTTCACTGTATGAATAATGAACTTTGAACCCAATATATAAATATCTTTCCCCATTTTCAACCAATATCCATTTCTAAACTCTAATGGTAAAAACAGTTATAGCAAAGGAGAGCGAGAAGTCCAGCGATATAAAAAGGTCATATTGATTTACCCTATAGCAAAGATGACAATTTAATAGTTTTACTGACATTATACACAAGTGAACAAGATATCTGCTCACTAACAGTGTGTCACAGTGGATGGAGACCAGCAACATTGATTCTGCGGGTTCATCACTGGCCAACTGAAGCGACACATTCACTTAAACAGTAATTGCAGAGCGGGAGAGGGACTGTATTGCTCCACACATCAAGAGGGGACATGTATGAGGTCCAGAGAGATGGACCCATCACACATTGTGAGAAAAATGGAAGATGGGTGCGGCGGATGTGTGTGTGAGTCAGCAGCACGTTTGATACGGCTGAATTTAAGGGAGCCGTTTGATGAAATGCAACAGGAGTGGACATGTCGTTATCAAATATCCCCCTGGGAAAGCTGACTGGATGGATGACAGTACAGGCGGACAGGGGGAAAGGGGCAATAGATTTAGAGAACACATTTGTAATTAGCTGAAGATTTACGGCAGAGCGTGTTAGATCTACACCAGGAGCAGCGCAAACAGGCACTAAAATTAGCTCTCAACTCCTGGTGGGCTGCAAGGCAACAAGACCTCTGGAGCTCACATTCTTCAACTTTATTAAATAAATATAAGTATTGTTGAGGAGAAAAATGGACCATGACACTTATTTTTCTTCACAAGTGTAGCATTTCTTTTTCAATTACAGTATGTCTTTTTTGGTAGAAAATTTGATAGAAATTGTGAGAGATAAATATTCTTATTTAGTTTTGATTGAGTATATCTTTGGTGTTTGAAACCATAGACTGTATTCAAAGATCCCATTGTACAAAAACTAAACTCAACCAAGCACAAGACAGTTTCAGCTGTCAATCATGATGTTTCGCCCCAATTTTTATAGCATCAAATAATTAACTAGAAAACCCAACAGTCTCCTTGAAAAATCACATTCAAATTCACTAAATCCCGATTTGTATTTGGATCTGCCCCAAATTGCACAAACTAAATATCAGTCCCCTAAACATGCCGTTTTGTTTAACAAAGATTCATAAATTATTCTTTGAGAAATCAAAATAATGTTGATTAAAAAAAACTCACAATGTTCACAAAGTTATGAATAAAAAATCCTGTATCTGCTTCTTTATCTTGATCCGCACCAAAACTTTATGGATTCGTCCCTGACCCATACCACATCCTTTCACAATGGTTGTAGTTTTAATATAATTTAAGCTTTAAAACAAACAAACATGCAAACATACAAACAAACATGGCTGAAAACATAACCTGTCTGCAAGAGGTAACTGAAACCAAACTTACTGGGATTTACTTGAACAAATTAAGTCAGTGTGGTAGACTTACCTAAAATGACAGAAACCATCTTTTGGAAAAATGTGTTTGATGTGTTCTTTGGTTTATGACCTTTACTGCAACCAGCCACCAGCGGGTGATCAAGACGATTTGGCTTCACTTTTGGTTGATGATGTCATCCATCTTTACTTACAGTCTATGACTGAACCTCCACTAACTTTGGGCAAAACCGTTCCAATCAGTGAGACGTCTTGCCTACCTTTCTCTTCTTGAAGGCCTGCCGTGCCAGGTAGCCTCTACAGGTCGCTTGGAACAGGGTCAGATTGCGCTTGGTCTGCTCATCTCTCTGTTCCTCCAGCTTAGCCAAAGTGCCAGCTCTGAAGAACAACTGGAGCGAAAAACACACACACACGAACACACACAAGATCAAATTAATTTATTACTAAAGGATAAAATCATTGAGAGATCATGTAATGCTAATTTTAGCCGTGGGGAAATAAGATTTAGAGGCCGTGTTTTAATGTGAAGCAGGGCAGCGAAATGAAAAAGAGGAGATGGAAAGTAAATAAATGCAATGAAGCAGCAAATCAATGGGAAACAGTGTAATCCTCGGACAAGTAGTCTTATCTAAGTGAGAAAGCTGTGATTAAGTTATTATCTCAGACAATCAGCCTGGTCTGTTTCTAATCTGGGCCAAAGGTAAAACACAGGTAAACAGTAAGCAGCTCACGTCACGGCCCGTCTATACCTCAGTGGGATTAGGTGCTGTGAACACATTCTAGATATGATGACGGCAGCGAGCTATAAAAATGGATGGATGATGACAGGAAAACTGTCTCCAACCCAGGTGTGCCTACACAGGTCTTTATAATTTACCAAATCCATATGTGATCTATTAACAAAACTAGAGATGGAAACGATCAAACAGCTTTAGTGGGAAAATCTGAAAAACATCAGGGAGGAGTGATGCATTCCGCAACGTCAAGGGATATTACTTTTAAAAAATTCTCACAAAGGCTAGAGTAGAAGCTTTATGTCTTTCATCATCATCAGGTAGTGCTTTCTAAAAGGTATAATGCTGTGCTATTTTCAGACATGTCGCTATAGCTAATGGCATATTTTATCTCAAGCTTTGAATCCATCACTATAAGGTTATTTGGGGTTGGTGTAATTGGCATGCAAGTGAGGCAGGTTGCTAAGACACCACTGGAATGCTTTGAGAATGGCCAAATGTGCTTGTCTACTCTGAGCCCATTTCACACTCCAGAGTGTGGCACCACGTGAAGCTGCCTTCGAACCATTCTCCAGTCATGTGTTCTCCGCTGCACGTATCTGAGAGCATGAGTCTCACTGTCTTCTACATTATTTTTTCCCTTCTTGGCGGATGGCCACTTTTTACGACTGATAGGATTAGACCTCGGCTTGCCAGCCAGTCTTTACTCTGATTACTTTACAATGGCTGTGGCTGAAAACAACGAGGGCCATCAGTTGTGAGAATTTGCCCTAATTACCTGAAAAGAAAAATTACGGTCACGTAGTCGGGCAGGATAGAGACATGCTTCTCAGGTAGCCACTAGCTAAAAGAGAAGACTTGAAGAAGAGGCAAGGCTTGGCCGCTCTCCAAAAAAAAGGATGGTAAACAAACTTCAAGGAGGGACAAGTGTAATGAAAGACACACTCCCCCCAGACAGCAAGTGTCCTCTCAGAATACACAAGAATGAAAAAGAGCTGTGCACCACAGCTCCGTAAAGAGGAGAGGAACTGGCAGCGATTCACAGGAAAGGTTTATTTAATCATTTTAAAGCTGTTTGTTTGTTTGAGGTGCGGTTGTGATACTCACCCTGCTCAAACCCATGTGGTAGCTGCTCTTCTCCAAATCCAAGGACTCGAGGAGCTCCTCCACAGCCTGGGCAGAGGCACACATATACACAAACACATCTGTCAACTGCTGGATCCAGTGTGAACTTCTATCAAACAGTTCATTAGTCCACAGTTCCCCCAACATGCCATGTGGAACTGATGGCACAGTGACGTTTTTCCTTTTCCCTCTCATCCATTCCTGACCTTTTTCAGATTTTGGAAGTGAGGCCGTAGGCACAGGAAAAGTTTGGCTGTCCAGAATCTCCAAACCCCCCAAAAAAACATTTTACATATTACTAGAATCAACTTGCTTCTGGCATATTCCTCGTGATCCCTCAGTGCAGCCTATCTAGAGGTGAACTGCCATCCATTGGGAGCCTCTCTCTTCTCCCTATCTATCTATCAGCCTGGGTACACTGTAGGCATGTTATCGTCTTAGCCTTGTCTTTCTACTTGAGCCTCCAGCCTGAAACACTACTCCGAGAATACGCCACGAGAGGTTTGCCACAAGCACTGAGGGGCTTTTGTTTGCCGTGTGTTTCCACAGAAACTCAGCCCCCAATATACGGACACAAGGGGGAAAGAGCTTTTCTTCCCCTTAACCCCATTCTTTCACTCTTTCTCTCATTTCTAAACAGTTTTTTTTCTCTCTCCACCAATACACCCTCCGTGCTAGTTGACTTCTATGAATAAAACTCACACCAGCTTCCTTCACAGGTCTTTCACAGTCATGTTTATAAGACAAAAGCACTGAAGTTGTAAAGTACCAGTGCTGTCGAGGGGAAAAGTAGTTTCCGATGCTTACTTTACAAAAGATGATGAGTATGTGAACTTGAATTTTATTTTTGTAGCTTTAAAGAAAGATTCTTCTGCCTCTTTCCTGAGCATGATACTGATGAGGTTAAGTTGATTAGATCATTAGAATGGCTCTGACAAATGGAGGTTTATTTCTCTGTCAGTCGGCTGCTGACAAATCAGGGGCAGATGTAATGAAACTGCCTCCTCACAAAATTAATCTTCACCGTGCTCGGCCACTGGTGGAGCTGTGTTTTCTTCCCCCTCCCTCTCTCACTGATTTACTTACTCTCCTCTCGTCCTTCACTATGTAATTTCTGCCGTGCTTCTTGCTGAGGTGCGGCGCCAGCACGTCGAATCGTCGCCGGAACTCGGAGAACACCATGTGATCGGGATAACCTGTGAAGGTCAGTATTGGAAAACAACATTATATATCTGACAAATTCGTATGCAGAGTCATGGGTGTTTTGCGGTGGGTACCCCATGTCCTGATACACATGGAGACAGTTTGTGCTGTTGTAGCTGCATCTCAATTCAGAGGCTGCATTTGAAGACCGATTACGTCACCGCGGTGCGACTAGTCCGTTCGAAGGCTCCGTCAATTGTGGCCGATAAATGCGTCCTTTCATGCCAGAGAAACAAAGGCTCCAAAGTGTGTCCCTCCCAGACCACCTTTCCTAGGATTCATTGCGCTTTGGTGATGATGAGGAAATGGTGAAGGCAAGCAACAAGACCGACGCGTAAGTATCACGCTTCAACTCAACCTAACAAGTAACAGTACAGATGTTAATAAAGCAAGGGGCCTTAAAACCTTCTCGTCATGTCCAACTTCAGCTCTGTTGCTAGGCAACAGCAATAAGGTTGGGACACCCTGGTGATAACGATCATGGAAAGCCAAGTCTCATCTTGGTTCCTCTTTTGCGGCCTAGGTGGTCCACAAAGACCACCTCCTTTGTGGCCCAGGTAGACCATATCCTTGTCCCCTGAATTGAGACACAGCTTTTACCAGTCTTTGGTTTGTTATTGAAGCAGCTACCTCACCTTGCCTGTAGATCCGAAGAGAATCAAGCAGCTTGGAGCCACGCAGCTGAGCACGCAGCAAGGCTACATCGAGCTGCGTAAGGCCCGGATCTCCACTCTCCCCTTGAGCCTCACTTTCCCCTGTTTTGTACAGGGATCCGCTCAGAGCCTTCAGGGCATCAGCCTTGGGCAATATGCAGTGAACAAAGTGAATCCTGGACCTCCGCACCATGTCAAGAAGAGCATCCTAGAGAAGGAACAGGGCACTCTGGTTGGAACAGGCCAAAGCTAAATCTTCTATTGATGTTTTTTCATGCAATCAGCAGCTTTACATTCTTAATTGAAACAGACAAATGCATTAAACATACATCTCATAATAATACACAAACCATTTCTGTTTGAACATTCACACAAGTTAAATCTGTTCCTAGTCTCTCTTTCTTCCATCTCCCCCACTATCTCCTTTTTCGCCCCTTTCCACCCACCACTCCTCTCACCCCACTGGGCAGATGGCCGCCCACACTGAGTCTGGCTCTCCTCGAGGTTTCTCCTAGATAAAATGGAGTTGTGTTCTTTCCACGGTCACCAAGTGTTTGGAGATTCTTTTTCTGGTCTCAACCTCACATGTAAAATGCCCAAGATAATGTATGTTGTGATATAGTGCCATACAAATATAACTGAATTCAAATCAATTGGATTAAATCTACAATTTTTTACTCAAGCACATAAAAACTCTGACAATGCTGGAAGATAATTTCTATCATCTAAAATTTTACAGCCTACCTTTTGAGTGACTATATGTTATTATATACTTCATATTGATTCCATACATAAGGCACATTTCCATTTGAGGCTCATTTCTTTAAGATTTGATCAATCACTGTTTGAAAAACATCAATCTCTACAATAAAATCTCAAACTATACTGGACATGCTGGATAAGTCTCACTCTTATTTCTGTATTATGGGATATTAAGGTATTATTTGATACCCCTTACTCTTCCCTTTCTCCTGGTTATTGCCACTTAAACTTCAACAACCTCGATTGGGGATTAAAGAGCCCAATATCCCTTTCAATTATGTTCACACCTCACAGTTTACATCCCTAACCACACAATATTTCACAATAATGTATTTGTCATAACTATGCAGTGTGCTAGTATTGGAAAAAGAGAGAACTTTTTAATGGCTTTGTACTGGATTTAAAGTAATCTGGAGTTTTGCAGAATTATTCAATATCGACATTCTCGTCGAGCAATGGGGTTGGAAGCAGAAAAGCGGCAGAGCTGTTCTTATAAAACACCAGGCCCTAATATCATTTTCAGATTGATTTCATTCTCTGGCTGCAGCTCAAACACCAGCCTTCATCCCATCCATTTTCTTTGTAAGGCTGCATCGAGCTATTTGCAACCGCTACGTAGATTTCAAAACAAATTTACAGCTATGAGCCCTCGTATATTCCATCAATCTGTCAGGTTTCTGGAGCTGAACTGTTAGCAAACAAGAAACTGAAGAGTCTGGGGTTGATTCTCAGTGGGTTTTGGCAGTGCTACTACATCACAAGGACTAAATTAATGTTTAACATCAACAATGTTGACAACAGCAATGGTGATGTCTTCATTTTACTTCCATTTTCATATTAAAGATGGAGTAGATGGTTTTGTTACAGCAGCCAGTGCCAGCCCAGGTCCCCAAATACACTTTTAGCTCACTGCCTTTAAAACATGGACGAACACATAAAAAATAAATTCTGACAGGCTGATTTGTCCCATCCTCTCCTCTCACCACTTGAAGCTTTATCTGGATGCACAAGGACTTCTTCTTGATCGCAGCCACTCCTGTGGTGAAGGTCTTTCTCATGCTGGTGGCCCGTCGCAAGGACAGCTGGGAAACGCCCTCAAGGCCGGCGATGGAACCGGACAAAACAGTGGCTCCACCTGCCCGGCTCATGACCAGCGAGTTGATGATCTTCCTGCAGAAAAAAGAAAAAGGGCGCCTCAGTACGTTTTTTGCAATTCTACACTAAAGTCACAGTTTATGCCACAAAACCTTGTTGTTGCATGTGTGCAGCTCACTTCTGGGAGTCCTGCAGGAGGCTTGTGGCGTTAGTCGACGCAGGATTCTGTTTGGCGTAGTTGAGCCACCCACAGACATTGTACTCCACCCAGTCTGTCCCATGGCTGTGCCCCAGCAGGAAATGGTTATCCTTCTCGCTCTTCAAGAGGAAAGTGTGACCTGATACAAATGTAAGAGATGTGAGACCCGCTGGTTTGTTGTATGTGATGACAAAAATAGTATGCATAGGGGTGTATCAAAGTGTCCGTTAACCTGTCCATGCAGTTTTCATATGAAATGTTAAATCCATTAAACTGTACTCTCATACAAAACGCTAATATCGGTGATAACCTACAGAGGAGAGCTCACATCTGGTCTACTGCATCTAAAGAGTTCAAACGTGAAGCTTTCAGCTGTTGTGCTAAAATGGCCATTATGTTTTCCTGAATAATATATGGGGGATTTGTTTTTATTGAGTAAGGCAAGTGTAGATAGAGATGGCAATTTGTCATATAGTGCTCAGTGTACAACAATTTGTATAGACCTGTGTCTATAATACAATGCAGTGTACTCTGACACAAAATGAGAGACTTGTGTGTCCTTTCCTGCCACAGACTTTTATTAAATCAAATTATTACTACTTTCTGAAGAAGAAGAGATACTTTATTAATCCCTCAAGGGGAAATTATTTTTACATGCATTTTAACCCCTGAAACGCAACCACACACACACAAAGGGTTCATAGAGTAGACATGCAATGTGGAGAGAGATGGTGGAGTGATGGGCAGCCCCGAAGAGGCGCCCCGCAAGCAATTGGGGGGTTAGTTGCCTTGATAAAGGACACCTCGGCAGTGCCCAGGAGGTGAACTGGCACCTCTCTCAGCTACCAGTCCACCTTCCATACTGTGGTCCATGCTGGACTTGAACCGGCCACCCTCCGGTTCCCAAACCAAGTCTCTATGGACTGAGCCTGATGCCTTTTATATTTCAGCACTTTGAATTGCCTTTTTGTAGAAATGTGCAATACAAATAAACTTGCCTTGCCTACTCATGTTAAATGGTAACATATATTTACCTAAAATTAAGCCTAGAAGCAGAGTTGGTAAATACTGTGAAAGTATGCAGAATAAATTAAAATGGTACTAGGTAGAGCGCACACCAAAGCCAAGGCTCAACAGTCCCCTTATGATATTAATATAATGTGCATATCTGGATCAAATATTCATATTAGGTTGTTTACTCTGTCAGTTTCTTTAAAAACCATTGGGGAAATGCTTGCCATACTTAATATTAGCTTTAACTGTAAGGTTATATTTTAGTGTCTGTGAGTGTTTGTCCTCTCCTTGCCTTTACTCTCCCCCTCAGCAGGTCCATAGTAGCTAAAGAGACGTCCCAGCAGTGTTTCCTCTGATCCCCCTGGCTGCACCGCCTCCTCCTCCATCAGCCACAACAGGCCCCGTGCCTCCTCTGTACGAACTGTCCGTACCTGTCAAAGAACCACACGTATGCAAAAACACATAGACACATATGCACAATGGTCATAGGTCATTAGTGTGATCCTAATGAGGACAGAAAATGGACAGAAAAAATAAATCACTCTCGCCCTGACTTCCTGTTTCTTCTAGTTGACGCTGTTTACAAGGTCTGCCCATAAAACGATTACTATTAGTCCCCCTGTCATGATTCTGCTCCAGTTAAGGATTTTTGTAAAACCCCTTTTCCACTGGTCAGAATTTTGCTATCAGTTGTGGGTTTTTTGCCGTTTCCATGTGGACTATGAAAAGCATATATTTTTATTCTGTTATCTTTTGTGGACGTTGCATTTTCTTGAAAGATACTTTGGGGTTTTTCTAATGGACTCTTGTGTTACAATACATGTGTCCCTGACTGTTTAGTAATGTTATCCCTCATTTTGTCTCATTTCTTGTTTTATTTTGAAGCCACTGTCCTTGTGACTTTTACTTGCTTCACTTCCTTTTGTTTGTCTCGTTTCCCTTGAGGTCGTCTGCGCCTGTTTCTGATGTGTTTCACCTGTGTCTAATAAGCCCCGCCTCTCTTTTGTATTATTTCTCTGTGCTCCCAGTCCTCAGTTTCATTCGGCTTCAGTTCAGTTCGGGGGGGGTTCAAGTTTTAAGTTTTGCTGATGTTTTGCTGTTTGAGTTTTACGTTTCCTGAGTGTTTTTTGTGCCAGCCAGAGCCACTATAAAACTCTTTTTTGCACAACCTGCCTTTTTTTGTGCCTCGCTGTGGCTGCATTTGTCTCAGACGTGACGCCCTAACACATAAAACACACCACATCATAAGAAACAACCATGCGACCAGGACAGTCGAGTTGCTATTCGATGAAAACAAACTGCTGAATCTGAGGATTAAGCTCTTTAGTGTTTATCCATCTCATGAAAGATTCAGGAAATAATCAGACAAATGTGGAGAGCTGTCTACCAGAGTCACTGTGGCATGAAATATTAGCCACTCTCCAAAACGTCAGTAAAAGCAGTTGTGAATGTTTCCGAGCGTGAGCCGGTTGTGACAGACCTAATATAAATATTAGCTTTGGAAATTAAAGTTTCAAAAGCATTTGTAGTCTCTGTGCCCTTCAGCAGTTGCCACCATAATAGCATCATCAATTTAGCGTTTCCTTATAATCTAAATGGAAATGCAGAAAAAAGGAGTTCATGAGTATGAGGAGTAGCGGGGGAGAAGGAATTAAAAAGTAATACAATTAGTATTTTAATTAGTGTGAACGAGGGGAAGAAAATAAAACCCACTCCAGCACTGGTGATCCTGAGAAAAGGCTTTGGTTGCTTTCTTCTATGATTCCAACCATAATAATGTGACTTTATTGGAGAATGCCGCTCAAATATTCTCAACTTTTAACATATGTTAAACCTTCCTACACAAGACGTATACTGATAGCCACATAATCATAAGGGTGCTCATCTTCAAAAAAATAAAAATAGAGCATAAGATCTCTAGTAATGGTTGTGAGAAGTGCACTTGTAAAATACTACATATTTGATTTTATAGTTACAATGCAGCTTAATTAATTATTATATTACTACAGTCAGCCCCAGCCTCTGATTGGTTACAAGCTATAATGCGCTGCCTGTGCTAGTTAGATAATTTAGTTGAAGCTACAGAGCTTTGAGAGCACACTAGTTTTTGACCGGGCTTATGTTACTAACCATGGTTCTTGGTACGTGTACTTATTGTGCTTGTGTATTTTGTGTTTGAAGAAGTAATTTTCAGTAACATTTTGAAGACTATTCAGAATAGTCATTTTAACACTGGCGACAGGCTGGTCTCTTGATAAGCTTAAACCTAAATTATGACTTCACTCTCATAAAATTATGACTTCACTCTCATAAAATTACGACTTTATTCTCAAAATCTCTGCTTTTTTCTGTTCGATTGGCACAAATACTCATGAGTCCACTACAGACCAAAACACATGAGTCCCATGAGTGGAGAAGTTTAGTTTATGTTTACAGCATACTTACACACACACACACACATATATACCTACCAGAGTCAAAGTTTGATTAGCAAACTTTTTGGCCAGAGACATTTAGAAAAATTATTATTTTGTGGATTACAACAAGCTCCAGAGAAAACCACCCCAACATGAAGGTATCCAGCTTGGTTAACATGGCTAAAGCCTGAATCCACCCTGGGAAACTCTTGGCTAAGGAACCAAACCCACAAAACTAAAAACTGTTTCAGCAGCTGTATGGAAGTTCCACTAGAGACGCACTTATCAGCAGCACACACTACACTGGCTGCAAATACAACAACACAGAGTATCAGTATGGAGGAGATATATACGATGACCATGAGGCCTGCAATGAATTGAGCATTAAGCCTGTTTGTGATAATGGACATCAAGGCTGCAGCAGGAAAAAAAACATGAGAAAGAAAGGACTTTGTGGAATCAGTGTTTCTTCCCCTTTGGTTTTCAGTGTGATGTAGTACAGTTCACTGCTTCTGATGCCATTCCCATTAGAGTGTTGGGGCATTTTAAAAGTATAGCACTCAAACCAAACACAGTGGAATTATACCAAAGTGATCCATGACTCTCTAAACTCAGCCATTTCTGTTTCCATGGTGCAGTTCACAGGCTGCAAAGGCCAACCATTGATTTTCTTCCTCGAAGTCAATTCTATAACCTTTCTTTTCCTGCTGCTTCCCTCTCTTTCTATAGCCTCGGCGATAAGAAAAGAAAAAAAAATCACAATTCAATATTTGAAAACTCAGATCGTCGAACACAAAAAGGGGCATCCAGAGAATAGCGTGTGAAAATAGATCATGAAAGGAATGCAGGTCCCTTGGGTGGTCTGAGAGGCAATTTATTATGCCAGACTTATACATGAAAATACCACAGATAAAATGTTGCAAATAAGTGGGGATGCAGTGTCACTTAAAAACTGAAATGAAGACCACAGACACAAATTGATCTTACCAGAGCTTGGCTTGAGGCTTGGTCGACCACTGACACAGAGAGAGATGTGCTGGGCTCGGTGTCATCTAGAGCCAGCTCTATGTTCTCCTACAGGAAGACAGACGAGCAAAGTGACAGAGTATGAATATTGGTTTTTTTTGTTTTGGAAACAAAGAGATTATTCAGCTACAGTCAACTACAGATTTCAACACAGAAGATAGTTTGGAGTCTTTCTATGGCCATGGACAAATGTATTTGTTTAAAAAGAACGGTAATGTAGAAGATAAGTCTGCACTTCATTGAGACAGTTACATGTGTAACCATGTTTCTCTGAGTGAGGAGTCGACCATCACATTTCAAGAAAGGGACCAAGGAAACTATAGCTGCTTTCATTCATGCACTTAGGTCCAGACATTTTATTTTTCAAAGGCTGCATGTGAGAATGCAAATGTCCAACTCAGTTTTTCAGACAATTTCCACAATTTTTCCTGCCAGCTCTCTAATAAAATGTCTAGAAAATGTCAGAGTGAGGCCGTGAGAGTAAACCGCAGGAAAATTCACAGCAAGCGTGTGGGCGTGTTGATGCTTCTAACACGTGATGGACAGGCAGCTGGAGGGATACAAATATCTGAGGGGGAAAAAGATCAAGAGTTTTTGGCGATAAGGGCCGACTCCAGTGTCTGTGCTGTAAACAAACACACTGCTTTCCACAGCAGAATTTACACATCATGTCCTGCCTCGTGCATGCTCTACTCAGGCGTTAACTCTTACATTGTGGTTCAGACAAAGAACTTTTCCTAAACGACCTCCTGCTGCACATGTCTAAAAAAACAGTTTATGGAAGAACAGTTTGATCACAGGAAGCCAGTTCCTGCTGCTGTCCCCCAGAGAAAACCATGGGCTTCTCTTAGTAGTTCCAGATTATCAAAGACTTATGGTGTTTGTGGGACTGAACATTGTTGACTTGTCCAACACAAGCAGTTTTCCAGCTTTTCAAATTGAAGGATTTATTTTGTGTCCATGCATGTGTCAATGCACCTAATGAAGTCGCAGGCAGCCTGAATTACTCCCAAGGATTTCTATGGATATTGAAAAAAATAACAATTGGAAATTAAATGTAAGAAAAGCAAAACCATCAACAAATCTATTATAATAACAAGGGAAGCTTGGCATTTACTGAGGCTATTTTTCCTGTGGGTCAATTGAAAAAGCTAAAAGATTTCATTACTGTTGAAGATAACATTTCTGTAATAAAGTGGAAATAAATATAGAAAATCAACTTCACCGGAGCAAAACAGGCATATGGCAGCTCACAGTGACAAAGTGCGCGGTGCACTGGAAATGTGGGTAAATGTTGGCGGTGCTAATGGTGCGGCCATGACAGATGCCACTGTTCGAGTTGACTGTATATGAGAAGTGGCCTTAATGATTTTTGTTCTCTGCTGTGGAAATTCACCATGTGGAGGAAATGCAAGAAAAACGATATCCACACAGAGCTGCAGCACACGACGGTGTTTAATTTGAAAACACAAAGCATGCGCCTGCTGTTGTGCATCGCACTTTCACCTGCCTGTCACTGCCATTGTTGATACTGTGTGCCGTTTCAAATGAGTTTGACCCAGTTTTCAAATGACACTTTCCCAGTCTCTCATATTTTCAGGATGCTCCAAAAAAGAGAACCACACCACGCCGATTTTATGCAAAACTTCCTTTGGCTCGAAATGTCTTCCTCCCAGGCGGAGGATGTGGGTGGGAATGTGGGCGGGAAATCCCAGGATCCATCTTCACTGTATTAAAATGATGATCGGGATTTCTGCTTGACTTAAGTGTATAATCAGCGATGTTTTGAAGAAGAAGAATGCTATGGTATAAGAGAAATAATCAAATCTGTTTGTACAAAAATAAAAATCTCTAATATAAATCATTAAGAATATTAAACTCTCACAATGGCCAGTTATTGTGGTCCATCAATGCTCGACAGAGAGGGAGGACAGAAGAAGAAGAATGGCTCCTTTATCACGGAGCAGCACCACCGCTGTGCGTGTGGGTGTGTCTCCTGACGGCGGCAGTGAGTGACTTTACTTTGATCTCGGCAGAGGAGGTGAAGACTGGCATCGCTAATGAGAAAGTCTAACATATGAACTAGTTTGGCTTGTCACAGCTTGTGACAGGTGGGAGGGGTAGTGCATCTGATGTGCGAACACATACAGTATCGAAGTTGATAGATTGGTGAGAAAGCCGCAGACAAAGGGAAAGAGAGACTCAGAGGTGGGAGGAAGAAAAGAGACGATGAGGATGACACTGCAGTGCTTTCAGAAAGTATTTACACCCCTTACACCATACACTAAAACCATTCAATTATTTGTTGGTATTCAGACTGGCATTGGCAGCAATTACAGCCCAGAGACTACATCCTTACTACGTTTCAGTTTAAAAATGGTGTTTTCAAACTAATACAATCCCTACGACCATTTTGGCTCCGAATCTGTTCCCTGTCCATCACATGACCACTCACAGACACTGGGCATCCATGTGCTGGTGTAAAAAGGAATTGCATGAATAACAGCTTGTATTCTGCACTTTTAAGAAGATGTTTCATTATGAAATGCAGAATTTGAAAAGACAATGACAACAGGGTCAGTAACGCTTGTAATTCATTGGTAGCCGAGGATAACGCCATCTTTTATCTTCCGGGAAGGGAGTCATGTGATAGGAGCCTGACAAATCAGCGGAGGCTACGTACTGACCAAAAAGACAAGAGGTTATGAGCGTAATCATTTCCAAACATTTCTGTTTCTGCCGGTCCAGTCTAAAATCTGGAGTTTTCAAACTAAAACAGAGCCAGCTGCCTTTGCAAACTTTTCCATTTTGGCAGCTCAAAAAACTCCATAGTAGTGTGGATGGTAGGTTGATGCATTTTCAAACAAAAAAATAGCAGTAACAGCTTCAATTTAGGACTGAGTAAAGGGTCTGAATACATAGGTCTAGTTTTTCCTTTTAAATAAATATACTAAACATTTTCAAATGGTTTGTTTTTGCCTTGTCATTATGGAGTGTAGTGAGATGACATAAACTTAAAGTTTTATCGTACAGCTGCAACAAAATATGAAAAAAGATAACACTTTCCGAATCCACGGTATACGTGTGCATGGTGCATTATAGTTCACATCCCCTCACCTCCTTGTATCTCTCCAACTCCTGAACAAAGGTGCGTTGGTAGAAAAGAGCTTGCAGACGTTCTTGAGTGTAGTTGTGACAGAGGTCCTCAAAGGTTGCGCCGCACTCACGCTTCGCCAGCCTGGGGTTTTGAAAGCCCGGTGTGTCCACAATGAGCAGAGAGCACAGGGAGTTCTGGCTGCATTTCAAGGCCCTGAAGCACACGAGACAAGCACACAAACATGCACAAACATTAGCACTGTTGATACTTGAGGTAACGTTTCCTCGATCACATTCTCTGCACATACCCCTGGCTTTAACCTTAGCTCTCTCCATTTCCATCCATCACTTCAACTTTCACTGAACATAATCCAAATTCTGTCCTAAAAACTAAGCAAATTTTTTAAAATGTAAATAGCCTCTGATACTCTTAAACTACCCATTAAAGGTACAGTGTGTAGAATTTTGTGATATCTAGTGTTGAAGTTCCATGTTGCAGCTGAACACCCCTCACCTCACCCTCTCCTTCCAAACATGAAAAAGAACCTGTGGTAAACTTCATTTGTCATAAAAACTCAAAAGGTGTAAAAAACATGGCGGCCTCCGTAGAGAGGGTCCCCTCGATGTAAATATAAAGTATTTAAATATAAAGGGTCTTCTCTAGGGTAAAGAAAACTACAATTCATACAATTTAGATGAAACAAACTCGTGAAAACATCATGAGGATTATTCTACATTCAATTTCTGCCAATTGTTCCCTTTCACCTAAATCTTACACACGGGACCTTTAGGTCAATTAGATAAATAACATTAACTGGACAGAAATTTCAGTCAGGTAAAAAGATGTCAAGATATTGAAATATATTTAAAAGGAAATGTTGTGCAAGGCCTCTACCTTTGTCCATTAAACTGGATAATACCAGCCGAAATGAGGACATCTTATCATCTCTTCATTTGACATAGCTTAAGTAAAACGGAAGAGAAACACTCACCGGTTTATTAGAGAAATGAGGATAGTGAAGAGTTCAGAGTAAAGCCCAGATGCCAGAGCCTCTAAACACTCCATGGCTGTAGCCTTGGATCCTGGGATGAGAAGTGGCCAAACACAGAACCAATCAGAAACAGGCAGCTCACAACAATCTCCTTCATGAGACCAGATTAATTAAAAGAGGACATTCAATGTGTTTGAGCTGTAAAAGCGAAAATGAAACAAAGGTCGCTAAATGTGCTTTTTAAAAGGACGCACAACATTCGAATTTGAAGTATTTGAACTGGGTCGGGAATTGTCTTGGTAAAGCAATGTCATTTAGGGACTCAGGTGTTTCCGAATTGGTCAGATCAAACAGCGCATACTTATGTCCGTGCCTAGCGGCGATGGCCACCTGTTAAGCTCACCTAATTCATTCCGCTATCACACAAAATAGTGTGTGTGTCAAGCGCTCAGGGGGATTTTCATGTGTGCACACACGTTTATGACTGTAAATTCATGTGTGCGTGTGTGTGTGGGGGGGGGGATATAGGAGGAGGGTGAAAAAGAGGTCAATTCTGTCCATCGCTGTGTGATAGTTTTAACTGTATCCCCCTGCCCTCCAAAGTATGTTTAGATGGCAGTCAGAGGACGTGTACATGTGAAAAATCAATGTGAGGCAATTATGATTTCAAGGACAATGAATGAAGAGTGGATCCAAAACTGCTTGTCCCTACATAGTGTGTGTACTTATCTATCAAAAGCCATTGTGAAGCTGTGGTATTCATTACTAAGATAAGCTTTACTTTCTCCAGAGCATGCAATTTCCCTCAGGTGATGAGCAGAGGCGAATGTGCGTGCATGCGTGTATGGAAACAAGAGTGGAAGTGACAAAGAGAAAGAGAGAGGAGGGGGCGTGGGGCTGTGAGGAATGAATGAAGAGGAGCGGCTGTTGGTAAATGCGGAGTACCTGAATCTGCTGTGCCATTTTCGTCAGAAGCCTGGCGGGCGGCGCTGGCTCTGGGCAGGGTGCCCTTGGCCTGGTGCTTGAAGATGGAGGAGGAGAGCTCCTCCAGGGTGCAGCCCAGCAGGTAGGCCGCCTTCTGGGCCCACTCGTGACGTGCAAATTGTCTTCTGCCAGCTGAGACACGAGCATGAAAACGTCCATTAGCCCCTCTGCCAACTTACCCCCGGGCACATGGCTATAATATGTAGCTGTGTGACATCGCTGACAGGGTAGGATTCAGCTCTGGTCAAGCTGACGCTGACACAGAGAACATGCAGTAAAGCAATAATTGTGACGTGAATACATTTAACTGCAAGTAAAAGTTTCTCTTCTCTGACTCTTTACTCTTTTATCATCTAGAGAATGAAAGCAGAACTTATCACAAGGGAACACAATTAATTTATTTACATAAAAACCTCTGTTCTTTCTCTCTGGGGAAAGACAAGCTCCTCTTTAATCTATTGGCTGAGTGATGGAAACACGCAGATATGAGGGCAAACTTGTGTTTTAATCCACCATGAAGTGGTATCTTCTGAGACTTAAGAGAGAACCTGGGGGATTTCTCTCTCACACACACACACACACACACACACACACACAGAGAGAGTGGGCTCTATCTGTTGCATCAGCGCTGCGGAGGCCCTGCATTCTTCTCATGATAATAAACTGTGCAGAACGCTTGTTAAGATGAGCATAGCCATTCAAATATTTGCTTTGATAGATATTTGCCACCACAATTATTCACATTCTGGTAAAACATCAAAAAGAGGAAATTGGGTTTGCCAATACGACTGAATGCTATTGAATCAAACATTGAATGTGTGACTCCCAGGGATAAATTTTTTTAAACTGCATATGTACTAAAAGAAATTTTTGTCTTCACTTATCAGATATTCATTTTGACAGCAGCGAGCAGGTTCATTTTTAAATGGCTCCTGTAATTAGCTCTGGTGGATAAGAGATCACTGCTGTCCTCTTGTGGTTCACTATGAAGCTGCACTCCCAATCAGTATCTTTTACACACTTCTTTTATTTTGTAGGTTGACGACAAAACACAAAGTAAATCCTGGCAGGGGAGGCGTCATCTTGAATTAACACTCATTCAAAGTCTATGTGTCTTTCTCTTGATGGTGACCTCTATTCCCATCATGCATTGTTTCTTCCAATTTGTATGTCAAGCATCCGCAAGTCCATAAGTCACCTGGTAATTCACAGATAGACAAAAGTTGTTTGGCACCCTTACTCCCAACAGCAGATGGTGCACAGGACAATATTCGTGGCGTAAGACTGTTCCTGGACGCTGTTGTACTGCCATCTAAAAAGATTGGCAGCCAGCTGGAGGGGATCACGGCAAAATAATTTGGCAAGATAAAAATTCTGCACAAGTGACAATTACAAAGCAGGCTGAGAGCAAGAAGGGAACAAATGTATGGATAAAATAGAGATCCTGTCACTGCTGCCGCACAGTCATTGACAATTTTATGTTAAAAGTTATTCTAGTATGGTGGTGTTGTTAACAGCTTCCAAGAACAGAGGAAGTCAGACGTCACATTTTTGCTTTGCAGTGTCACTCAGATCCTATCCTCAGTTTGACTTTGTTAAAAATTAAAATCTTAAACGCACTGAAGCACCTGAAAGACATGGTTTCTGTTGTAAATAAAGCTTTAAGAGCTTTAAATCTGATTTCATTTGAAGAATATAAATAATTCCATCCTTGAAAAGCCAAAGTGCTTCTAACATTCAGGGATAAAATATGGCTACTACAAACCTCGCTGGTTATAAAAATCCCTTTGACGGTGTCAGCCCATTTTTAACGGCAGATATGTAATTTTAAAATGAAAATCATATGCTGTGAAAGGCAGATCTATTACTTCAGGGCTTAAAAAAAAACAATCAAACACTCTTACGGGAGGTTTCATCATTCACGCTGCTTCAAAGACAGGAACAAATCCTCGTGTTTAAGGGAACAGTCGGTAAGTGCTTTGATACATTCTTATGACAGGACAAAACTTTTATCTGACATAAGGGTCAAAATGAAACCTCGTCCTTGAGCTGTGGCAGTGTTTCCAAACAATAACTCAGCTAATTTATCAGTGGTTTTAGGTGCTTTAACAAAAGCAGTGCTTTGTTTATTTTAATATGATTTTTCTGTAAGGATTAATAAAGTCTAACAGAGAAAAAACGAGCCAGTCCAAACTATAATAATAATATAATTCAGTGAGTTTTCATTTGCATGTCCTATCACTTCATAAGTCCAACTTTATATATATTTAATTATTCTTTTTATATATTATTGTTATTCTAATTGTTATCATCATTACTATTATTATTATTGGATATAGTAGTAGTATTGTTTAATAATTATCTGTCATGACCATACAAATGTCTTGGATACTGATCCAGTCGGCCCACATCATTCCTTCCTAAATTTTTATGTCAGAGCTCAGTGTGGTGGAGCATTCCAACAACCTGTTCACTGACCTTTGTGCAAATGCATAATTCAGTTATCAGACTTACAGCTGCCTTGCATCACACAGAGGATGTTACCTGCAGTGACATAATCCAGGCTTTACATGTGAGTTGATACACACCGTGTCATTAAATTGATTTCCGCTAACGAGGGGAATATTTGGCCAATTTATAAGCCGTCGGGTGAGGGTGTTGTTCTCAGTGGTGCACAAATCGAAAAGATTATCCTTTTGCATCTTTGTGACTGGTTTGTGTTCTATGAATAACATTAGCCACAACAATAACTGGTGCAGATCTCACATTGTAAACCATGTGATGGGTTCAGTAATCTCACCCTTGGTAGCCCCTGCAGCTCCGAGATGGCAAATTGCCCCGAGGACGAGCCAGAAGGCCCTTTGCTCGTCGCCGCTGATCCCCAGAACCTTCATGGCTGCCTGCAGCTTGGAGAACTGCTGCGAGGCCCGCTGCTTGTCCTCAGTCTGACAGATGGCACACATATTCAAATTCAATTTTTCAACTATTAATAATAAGATTTCCTAAGGTTTTTTGACTGACCTGTCAAAAAAATAAGCTAAAACAGGATGAGAAAAACTATTTGCAATGGTTCAGCAACTTTCAGGATACAATTGTGTTGTGACCTATTTTCATATCTACTGTGAAAATGTTAGTTTAGCAATTCCGGTAACAAGCCACAGTAAATAGTGCCAAAGCTGGCTGGTGTTGTATCAATGTCATGGCCTCTGGAAGCTAAAGGTTACCTAATGTTCTATGAAAGGAATCAACAGATCAGGAAAGGTTGGTGCACCCTTCTTGGTACTTTGTATGCCACTAAATCCATAATGATTGAAAGTGACAAGCATTATGCACAGTCAGAGGACAAATCGCATAGTTAAAGATTAAAGATTTGTGAAGTTAAAATATAAAATAAATAAAAGCAAAATATAAAAACTGGCTAATCTCTCATCACGCGGCAGCGTTTACCTTTGTCTGAGGCATGATTCCAAATGCATTGTTTTCAGCAAAGTGGTTGAGGTGCAGCTCAGTCCTGATGAGACAACAAAAGACAACATCAACACCTCATGTCTGTTTCTGTCTGCATCATTAGGGCTAGGGAAGAAATTGGCTGCATTATCCAAAATCAAGAATTAATCATTGAGACATATCAGCGTATAAATCCAGTGGTTAACAGTTTAGCTTTGTATTGAACTGGTTTAACATGATTGATCCTGACCTAAGAGAGCTGTCAGCTCCGGCCATCAGATAGTAGAAGATGTTAAAAGTGGACTCTCCCTCTGGTCTTCTCGTCACCCTCATCTTCTCCAGAAGCATTGTCTGCAAGGCCGAGGCAGGACAGGATATGTGCATGATAGATAATAACTAATATTGTTAGCAAGTGACTGTGCATTCATGTGGTGTTGTAAAAATGGGAAAATGACGTCTCAGGTCGAAACAAAAACTCTGAAATTTTGGTATACGAGTTGCTGACGTCATCACTTAGAAACCAATTACCTTAATTTACAATCTGTGAACTGTTCATTATTTTGCGAGTATTTGTAAGATGTGTTGTTTAAGTGTTGTTTAAACAAAATAAACACACAAATACAATAATTTGTTTGCAGCATCAATGTTTCCACTTTCCGACTTCAGAGTACATGAATACACCGAAGTCAGACTCAGACAATTTTAGAACTCAGGAAATAGGATCTTCTGAGGAGCATGTGAAGATACGGTGAGAATAATAATTTCAAAACCTATATTAGTTCATGACACATTGTCTGAGATCACTACAGATGTGAATCTTACTTGAATAAATGCATAAAAGTGTTCATTAGTACCTGGATAGAGGCTGAGGTCACCAGGCCCGCCTGGTCAAAGTCCAACGAAACAATGTGAGAGAAGCGACTGGCATTCCCATTCATACAGGTCGAGGCATTTCCAAACGCCTCCAAAACTGTGTAGACTGCCTGCCACTTCTCCGCTACAGACAAAGAGAGAGAAACACGGTCATGTGGAGGAACTATTAATTATTTTTAATACCTCCGCCAAGAAGGTTATGTTTTCACCCCTGTCCATTTGTGTGTTTGTGTGCTATTTAGCAGGATTAAGCAAAAACTACTCAACAGATTACCATGAAACTTGGTGGAAGGATGTGGTTTGTGTCAGGAATCAGATTTTGATGAAAATAAAAATCAGGCATGTTTAAGTGACTAATATTTATGATATGATTTAAAAATCTGTATCTATGGACTTTAAATAGGGTTACATAAGGGGACTGTTGGGCCTTGGCGGAGGAATGCACTCTACCGTTTGGTTTACAGTCTGGATTCTCTCCAACCTACTGGAAAAGGTTTTGTTGGTGCTGCCAGAGACGTTAACCAGATATTGGATGATGTGTTGACAGTTGGTGGTCTTGCCACTGCCACTCTTGCCCAGCAACACAATGGACTGATCCTGGCGAGTTGTCAGCAGGTTCCTGTAGGCGGCCTGGGCCATGCTGTAAATATGAGGGGCGGTGTCCTCCCTCCTGCAGCCCTTGAACATTTGCATCACCTGAGTAGAGAAGCGGTTACACAACTACAGTCATTGAGCTTATTTCATTCTGATTACACTCTCACACTGTCCTGAGGGAGATGTGTGATTATATGCACCAGCTGCAGCCTCACCTTCTCCGAGTACATAGAGGGGGCGCTAATGGGGTTAACGACCACCATGTTGGGCCCAGCATGGGTGTGCACCAGGTTACCACCGTAGCGCTGCCGCAGGGAGTGCATCACGCTCGACTCATTCAAATACTGCAGCGAGGCCAGGTCTTCCACTCGGTCAAACATCGGAGGGTTTGCCTGGGGTTCAAAGTCAGAGGTCGATCACAAAACTCGCCCGATAATTGATGAGGGATCAGATTTGATTTGATGATTAAATACCTTCTCTACATCATCTTCATCCACGTCCAATAAAGATCCATCACTCTCCAGGCGGATTTTCACCTTCCCCTCTGGCAGACTGCCCGCCTCAGTCTTCAGGAGAGTTGCTGCGTCGCCACAAAGCGTGCAGAGTTAATTTATCGTGACATGTGATCTCACCCTGTGTGCAGCCGCCTCATCTTATCTCTCAGGTCTGATCATGTGTGGCAGTTGCATCTTTTTTAATACTGTCTGGGATTCATTAAAACTCCACAAGCATTCAGTGTCGAATGGTGGGTCGAATTGCAGGCAGCCTGAGGTAGAATGGAGCAGTCTGATTCAGGTGTAAACATTTTGAAAGCATTTTCTAAAATCTGCAAACGTCCACTTCTATAGGTTTGCATTTAAATGTCATCCAGAAAAAGACACAACAGCACCAGCAAGAAACTGCGTTGATAATTCATTTTAAAATACATATTGAAGGTACAAAAACACAGAACTTTTTACTGACCCAATGAAAATCCTTCCTTGTGGACAAGCCATACTTTCTCGGTGTTGTACCAGACTTTCTCTGCTGTTATCTGCTCCTCTGTCTTTCCCTGTTAGAAAAGGAACAGTCAGTACTGACACTTTATAATTGTAATTAACTTTTTCTTCTCACAAGCAGAGGATTCACGTTCACATGAGACATATAAGGGGGTCTGGAGTCATTCAGGTGGGGGTCCTCTCTCAATGTGAATGATAATTTTGCATGCTTTTTTCATAATTCACCTCCAGCATAGAACCAAAGCTCCCACGCTTCCTCTTTTAATGCGTCTCTCCGGGGATCACTAAGTGTTGACTGAACTCGCTGTGGGTGCGAGTAATGTGCTCACTACAAAGATGTCACCGATGGAAGGTGAGAGCGTGGGGGTTTCATCACAGCGTTGCACATCACACACAAAAACACGAGCATGTTACATAAAGACAAAAGTGTCTGCAGAGCTGCTTTTAAATGTTAACATTAGTTTACAGGTTAAAAAGAAGGGCCACGCCTCAACCACAACTCTAAACACAACCAAGCCTACATATACCCGCTCAACCCATCACGTCTCAGATTTAAGGTCCCACCCTTTCCCTTCCCTGGAGAAAGAGAAAAGAAGATGAGAACAAGCAGAGAGAAAAAGAAGAGAAGAAAGAAACAAAGGAAAAAAGACCTTCATCCTCCTTCCCTCATCCTGATCCCTGTACTTCATCATCTCTTTCCTCATCCTTATACCTACATCCCTTCATCCTCTCTTTCTCTTGATGCATACCTCTTGTTTGTCTCATTCTATAGGTACAGGTGGGTGGGGGGGGCTGTAATAAGCTTGGGTGGAGTGATGCCTGAAACCACACTGCATCTCCCTGCATCCTCTGAGACCAGCCTATCAGATGCATCTTGACCTCCACCCCTTCCCTCAGGGTCCATTCAATTTCCCAACATCCAATATGCCAATTTCCATTCCAGTCTTTAAATTACATATTGTTGAAATGTTACCCTTGCTGGGGAAACTCCGCATAATAAAGATGGTAAAAACTGCGTCTCCACATTAACAGGTATAGAGCTGCAGGGATGATAAGCCCTGGGCTCTTCTTGGGCCCCACATGTCTTCATTAGTTCACCACACACGGAAACCACAAAACAACACATTCACACTGTGAAACACGAGAGGGATGCAAGCAGAACTGCAATCATTTGTAGCCATGGCCAGACCTTTGCTGCAGCCGAGTGCGCTGCCTGAAGGATGGCCACGGGGTCCAGGTCCACCAGCTTGGACTGGGGAGGGGAAGAAGCAGAAGTCAGCTAAGACCTTTAGCATCTTTCCGAGTGATGGGATTTAACAGCTTGACATTACATTTAACTGACATTTCAAAGCGAAACAAGGCAAATTACGGTACGATGGTGAAACAATGCAAGTTCCAAAATTATTTAAAGTCAAAAACAACTTGTAAAACATTGCAGCAACACCAGCAGCTTTAGGGAACGATGCACTAGTGAGTCAAGCATGTGCAGCAGAGTGAGCCGTTTGAGTAATTCACCAAAAAATAATTATAACACAAATGTATTAATGAGCCAGGATTACAAGGTGCCTTTAAGAACAGTGTGTAGGTCTATGAGCACAAAATCCATGTTCTGCCATATTAGCAGTCACAGTTAACAAGATCTTTAGCGCACAGCGAGGTAGAAATGCTGTGCACCATGCAGCCAAGTGTGACATATGTAATAGTCAATGCTAATTAATTCAGCTATAGAGGTAATACGGTACAGCATGCACAAAATGGTAGAATGTAGATTCTGTAGTGGTTGGATGTTTAAGTACATTTAATTCATTAGTGTACATTTTCCATGTATCTGTACCTTACTTTATTTTCAGGTACTTTCACTTTTACTCCCACACACATATCAGCACATATCTACTTTTACTCCTCTACATTTTTACAACGCATTGAGCTGCATGTTAACTTTGTTTTTTTGTTTTTTCAAATATGATGTTTAGTGAGAGGAGAAATGTTCCAAATGTTCCAATCAGAGAAGGTAAGCAACATTAGACCCCGCCTCCTGCAGCAGCAGCACTCAACGGAGGGGCCGAGAATCAGCCATAATGATCTAGTAGACTGTTGCATTGTCAATCCATTATCCTAATGTATAAGTTTACACTTGGCAAGTACTTTTACTTTCAATAAGTATTAAGTACTTTTAAGTTTATATAAAATTAAGTATTGAATATTAGTATTATGATAATATGGTATGAATACTTTGAAGCACTGTCACTGCATACAAAGACAGAGGGTTCCTGGAGATTTTTAAGTGAATCACACACATTTCATCAGATTTTCATGTGCAAGGTATTTAAGAAACTGTAGATCCAATATCAACTCAGTATCTACTGTATATGTGGCTGTGGAGCTAAGAAGCAGCAAAACCTTTACAGAGCTGCACATTGTATCAAAGGAGACATGTGATGCTATGATTAAGGTTGATAATTAAAATGTTGGATTATTACTTAAAAAGGTTTCCATGCTCGAATATTGATTTGGCAACTGGTCCACTGGGTTGTGATTGATCAGCATTATGCAAATATGTGTCACATTATAGTGTGACAGAAGCATTGGCTGGACTAACAAATTGTAAATTAAGTGAATGCAGCATTATTTAAAAAAAAAAAACCTTTTCTCCATTTTGCCAAGGACCTCTAAAGTTATGTTTAAACATTCCAGGCCCTCGCATGAACCCAGACTGAACTGCAGAGAGTGGCCAGGGGGACAAAGACAAACCAGGCAGGCACAGATAAAGTAGGGCAGAGAGGGGTCAGTAGAGGAGAACAAGCTCTCTTCAAGCGAGAGAGGGTGCAGTGAAACCCACGACAGAGCAGGCTGTACCTGAGAGGATTTGTGGCCTCTGGCACGCTAGCCATGCAAGCGGCAAAGAAGACAGCAGCGAGTCAGGATCCAGTGACCCACAGAGAAGCACGAGGAGAAACACAGGACATTAGATTTCAGACAACAGGACGTAAGAGCAAGGAGAAGGAATAAGAAGAGGAGTCTTTCAGTAACCAGACATAATCCAACACTGCCAAAATAATCACAAAATGCCAGCGGGGTAAAGTGCAGTGTCGTACAGTGGGGGCTCCTCTCGACCTGATAAAAAAGCAATTAAAATACTACAGGATGAATGAGAGGAAGGCAATAAGCAGGAGAGACACTGGAGATAAAACTGTCTCTCTAAAGCTGTTTGAATTCTTTATCAGAGGTGCACAGTTCAGCTGCAAGTTACCAATAAATCACAACATGCAACCTAATCCATACATACATATACAGTTATGGTTCCAAGAGATTATAATCAAGCCAAGCATAAACTGTGCGATTTGAGCTCCACTTTGAACCGAGTTCTGGGTCTCGCATGTTGGAGTCAGACTGAATTTCATCTTTATCCTGCTTCGTTTGCCATACAGTGAACAGGGGGGTGGGAGGAGCAATCAGATGAATTTCTGACATGTCCAAATTTTGGTCGGCCTTTGTTAAGCTCTCACACAATTTGATTTCCCAAACTTCTTTTTCTCACTGCGTCCACTGCGAAATGGCAAAACACAATAATAGGAAATGTATTTTATGGCGGGAAGCAGTTGCACAGCAGTGAAGAAAAAGAGGGAAGGCAAGGAGTTCAATAATCAAAGTGTAGCTAGGGATCAATTTACAACATACTAGCTTCAAAAGTACTTTGCTTTCTTTCTGCAAAACAGCCAAACCAAAATGGCCATGTCTATAAATCCACCCACGTGTCCATTTGGCAACACCTCATGTTTGGACATTCTCACATAGAGCGAAACAGATCATAGCAGCATTTTTTTCCCTTGTTAGCATCGTTAGCAAACAAACTTTGACTTCTTCTTCTTTGACAAAAACTCCGGAGCCGAGGAGGCGACGCAAGGCACAGTGGGAGCAGTCAGGTCACGTCAGACAATTAGACCGCACAAATAAATCGTGAGCTTTGGCTTCACATCTTAGACGATTTACTTGCACAGCGTGAGGTGGAATTTCATTTCTAAATTCACAGTGTGCCCTGCTTGATTTTTATCAAACCATCCACAGAATAGTTTCCTCGCCCACAAGTTATGTTTACTCCAGCTTTCCAAGAAAGCCTTTATTTTTTTGCTGAACTAACTCTGCAATGTCTCCGTAACCTGCAAGTCATATCTCTGTGTACTCAAAGTTTCAGATTTCAGGGGGCCAGACAACCCAGGGGACCCCTGTAACTAGACACCTATTGGCAGGGGGGAAGTTTGGGACAGCCCAGACGAGGACATGGTTTTAATAATTGGGTGCATTTCCTCTCCCTTGGGATTCAAGCACTGGCCTCAGGCTTGGTAAAGCATGACAGGTGCAAACAAAACAAACTGAGGGAGAGACATGTTACATCATTGCCAGTGGCGGTGAAGATCCTCCTCACACGCTTGTAATCTTGCTCAGTGGGAATCAGCTCTGGGACCTACAGTCGGAGTGGGACCGGCAATTTGCAAAATGGGAAGCAAGAAAGTGAAATCAATGAACCAGAGGTCATCGCTAACCTGAAAGCTGAAGAGGCACAGAGAAGCTTTTTAATGAAGTAAAAAAAAATGTTTCTGAAAGTGAGAAACATGCTGTTACAAGTACCTTTACATCATTTGGTGCAGACTGGGCCTGAGGCAGAGCAACAGGGGACGGTTTACCAGTGGGGGCCACAGGGGGAGAGGATGTCTCAGTTACCTTCACACAATGTACGTAAATATCCACAAACACAGACAAACATGCACACACACAGAAGAGATGGAATTGAAATGCTGATGACGATGAACATGAAATGTGTTTTCACACGTCCACAAATGCAGCCGACTTCAAGGGATGATTGCTCTATATGAATTAAGTTTTCCAGTTAATTCAATCAGGAAATGAGTAAAGGAAAGTTATCGTTAAAGAAAATTGGGATCATTTTGCTCTGCAGGAAAAGAGCAGTAGTTCGATTAAATTATTTGAAAGCAGTTAAATAATTTGTCACAGCTAAACTGAGGTACGACAAAAAACAACTTGCAACGAATCTGAGAGAGAAGCTGAAATTAAACCATCAAATGTTCTGAGACATTGTTTTGCAGCTGTGGGACATCAGTTCTAGTTTAGTATGAGTTTTCATCTAATTAAAAGTTCAGGTTGTGGTGCTAAAAACTTTTTTAATCAAAAAATTAATCTGGGCCTGATTTATTTATTTTTTTAAGATGATAGAAAAGCCCAGCAGGACTGAAGTGCAGGCTTTGTCTTCACTCTTTCTCTGTTATGTAACATGAAACATGTTTTTTTTTGTTTGTTTGTGGGCAAGATTACACAAAAACTAGAACGGATTTTCACAAAACTTGGTGGAAGGATGTGGTAAATGTCAGGCAAGAATTCATAAACTTTTGGAGCAGGTGTGGGTTCAGGAATTTGTTTTCTTTTTGCAAGCATTGTGAGATAAGGCATTTTTTGACATTTTCACTGATCTCCAAGGGAATAATTTAACATGGATCTTTAAAAAATGTATAGGGACACGATTTCTATTAATTTGTGCATTGAACTTAAGGAGAATACTGGGCCTTGTGTGCACTGTGCTGAGTGACATTGTAGTTTTGAAAGGCTCATGTGTGCCATATCCACAACAGCAATGGTAGCTCCTGTGAGAGCAGCATAATCCTCCAGGAACGCTTAGTCACACATAGAGCTACATTTCCAAGTTCGGCTGAAATCTTGATCCTGCTCTTAACATTTGAAACCTGATTCTCTCCCCAGAGCAGTTTAACACATATTGTCCCTCAGCAAAAAAAATATCTCTAAAATCAAATCCCTTTCTCTATTTCCGAAAACCCGACCAATCCCCTGATTTTGACGGACATCTGTTGATAACATTTTCACATTTTCAGACCGCCTGCTGACAGACATGACGTCAAGGAAACTAAATACAGGAGGAGAAAAACATAACCTTGGTTACCTAGGTACAATGAAATTATATAAAGGTTTTAAAGTGAAACAAATGTATTGTTTAAGTTAAAATATAAAGTATATGCAGTTAAGCTAGGGCCAACATTTATGTAAACTTCTTGTTCACCCCCAGATCCACCACGGCTCCCCTCAGTCATTACTGCCCAATCAGTGAAATCCTTTTAAAGCATTGCAATTCTTTTCTATCTAAGCCAAATCTAAGCCTAACAAGACTTTTCTCCCTTTTTTAATTACCATTGTTTTTATTCTTTTAGCTCACAGTTGTTGTTGTGTTTAATTCTAGTTCCCCTCTTGTTTTGTGCTTTTTCTTTGTGTTGTACTTTAATATATTCATTTACTGATGTAATATAAGTAATATGTGAAGATTAAAACTCTCATATGAGTTTATATTGATAATCATCACTATAAATGTCACAATATTTCTTTTAAGTTTAAAGAAAACATTTTACAAATCTGAGGTTGATCAGAAATGTGTTATTCCTCCTCACTGCACAATGCATTATAGTGATATATATTGGATATATGATATATATTGCAATAATTAATGATACTGTATTATATCAAAGCCCGACCTGAAACTGAATTTAGTTATTTTTTAAGCTACAAATTGCACTTTCATGACAAACCTGGATTCTGGTTCTCAGATCTACTGTTTTTGGAGAAAAGGATGTTTAACTGATAAAGAACTAGTGTTATTATAAGTTTCTGAATTCCCATTCTGATTCTTTTTCTTCAAAAGCTTCCAAGAAGATCCTTAAAGCCTCAGTGGTCTACGGCAGGAACAGACGGAGCACAACTTCAAAGCTCTGTCTGCAGAAAGTGACAGTAATGAGTCCCAGCTCAGTGCTCGTAGGACGACTCCAACTGTGCAGACGAACAGAGTGCGGGCCATGAGCACGCTCTTATACCCACTGATGGAGTCTGATCATCAGGCTGGTGCAGGCACCCCTCTTCACTTCACTCATGCAGGCTGGCTCATTATATCAGAAATCACAGGGGACTTGTACTAGAAAATGCACTTAGTTCCATTAATGGTAGAGAAACAAGTTGCAGTCTAATAATATTCCCAGTTTTGTTAAAAAGAAAAATACAACATTGTCATGAGGAGGTTTTATGAACATGAAGTGATGTGTGTGTTATTATAACTCAGCATGCTCCACCCTGGGGTTAAGTAGCAGACATGCACTTCTTTCACACGATACCTCTGGTTTCTTCACAGCGACTGTGCGAGGCTTTGGGATGAACCCTGCAGGAGGAGCCAGGGGGTCCGTCTTTGCGATGGGGATGAATCCTGGAGCTCTCGGCAGGGGAGTCTGTTTTGGCGGCACCGGACTGGGTTTTCTTGCTGGAATGAACCCCGGTGGAGGAGACAAGAGATTCTGCCTGGAGACGGGTATGAAACCGGCCGGCGGGGCCAAAGGGTCCGGCTTGGGTGCAGGGATGAGCCCAGCTGGAGGGGTGAGGGGGTTGAACTTTGGCGGTGCAAGGTTTGGTGCTGGAGCAGTGGGTGCAGATGTGGGTTCCGTGGCCTCCTTTGGTTTTTCCACTGTAGGTTTCTCCACCTCTTCCTCCACCTTTCCCTTCTCCTCCTCCTGCGCCACCTCTTCCTTCACGTCCTCTTTGCGGTCTTGGGTGCGGGTGCGAGGCCGGTGCTCCTTGGTTCGACTTCGGCCCATGAGGCTGGTCAGGCCCATGGAGATATCATCCTTTTCCACCCCAGCAGCCTTGGTGGTTTTGGGCACAGCCTTGGTTGACTCTGGAGCAGACGGCTGGTTCTGCCCTTCGGTCCCAGCAGGAACCACACGTCTAACAACCCTTCTCACCACCTTCACCACCTTTTTACCGCTGGAACTCTGCTCCTCGTCTGGGCCGACCATGGTAACGTTATTGTTGGAGGCTTCAGCTGTTGCAGCAGTCAACTGTGGACCACTTCCTGTGTCCAGCCCAGGTTTAGTGCCTATCTGAGGCTGACTACTCTCTACATCAGACTGGATACAAACAGAGCGAGGCAGACAATAGTGCAGATTATACTTGTGGTTGATGCAGATGAACGATAAACAACAGCAGGTTCTGGGCTCAGAAACTCTGGATAGAAGATTATTCAAATATGTATTCTATGAGCTTATGTATGTTAGTGTATGCAATTAGGTCATTTGAACACTGGAGCATATCCCGACTCCTGGATGAGTGTGAGAAGGACTGAGCTTAATTAGTTAGGCTGCGGAAAAAAGAGCGTGCATCTAAAATCTGAAAAGATCCCATCGTAGAGCCAATCTAAAGTCAAATTAGAAACTGAAAGTACCTGGTGGAGTTTTTGACCTTCAGTCTTACTATGGAGCAAAGTTTTTTTGTGTTATGTTAATATGGATGGCGTGATGCTTACAGTGTCTTGCCAGTGGTATAGATCCCAAGCTACCACCATTTCAATCTTTAATTACCTGGGTCACATTTGATTACCTGGGAGAATTGATCAATACTGTCCAGCATCAGCCAAAGTCAGCAGGTCTCCAAGACACAGGCACAGCAAGCAACTTGGATTTATTATGTATGGTAAAAACATGCATGAGGGATCAGTAGGCTGCCCCTGCTCAGGTCATAATACCGTCCACTGTCTCCTAATTATGTGCATTTAATAAACTCTGATGTTTTTTCCTGACTCTCAGACATTTGGAGTCGATGTCTGCACTTAACATAATCAGTTTTCAACGTGTCTCCTCCGATCACTCTCATTCGAGTGTAAATTATTAAAAAATGCAGTAGAAGCTCTCACACTGAGCTGAAATTAAACAGGCAGCATTCAGAATTATAATGATATTCTGAAATGACTTTGCACATTTACTAGTTGTGTTCATTTAAACCTGTATTATGGGAAGTTTTCATCGTAAAAATAATAATAATAATGATAATAATACTGAATGTCTCTTTTTATAATTTAACTTAAAAGGACACCATTAAGACAAAGTATAAAATCTAAAGTGGAAAAATGGAATTTATTTTCTCGTATATTTATTTATATACATTATATCTCAAGCTCTGTCAGCCTACACTGAAATAATCATTAAGAGCTGTACTGTTCCAATATTTACATGCTAACTTTCTGGGACCCTGGTCAAATAAACTAACTTAATCTTGCAGGAGGTCGGATCATGAATGGTAGATAAGTTTGTTTCCACACACAAAATATCATTATTCAAAATCATGCAGGTCAAAACTTACATCCGGCTTGTTCTCAACTTTAACCTACACAACAAAAAAGCAACACAAAAACAAATCAAACCACATATTCAGACCAAAGCTTTTCTATATCAACATAAAAAAAACACTTTTAAACTTTAACAAGCAACAAGATGCAGATATGAAGTAGAGGGCAAAAAAAAGTACAGAAAAAACAAAACTTTCCTTAGTCTCCCAGAATGAAAAGCGTGATCTGTATGCCATGGTGATGGGCCCGAAGTCATGGAACAAGCTGTGCGATGTGAAGAATAAGAATATGGAATGATAAAAGACAGAGAGAGGAAAAGAAAAAAACAAGACAAGACAGACAGACAGAAATAGGAGGATGTAGGAGATTGGATGAAGAATGGGAATTTATGTATGAGCAGTGGGATAAAGTGAAGCTGCTTTCTGCAAACAACAGGTCAGCACCTACGGGGTAGTTAGACCATGCGGCACAGAGGACAGAACAAATGAACAACATCATGAAATGGATGGATAGTTTGCTTTCCTGACGTGACAGGAGACAAGTGGAAAAGTCCTACAAACTGAAGACAGGACATTACGGATATGTACTTGGAATAATTGTCTTTTTATTTATCATATGCGGGCCTGACTCTAAATCAGTTACTATAACTTTGTATGAAGAACTATGCTTTACCTCAAACAACACACAAAACATTCTTTTGTAGAGGTGACACAAAATAAAATCACTAAACATGTAACACACAAGAAAAAATGAGCCAAAAACAAACAAACACATCACTACACTTAACTAAGAGTCAAACATGCAACTTTCTAAACTTCACAGAACCCCTGTCATGACTTTTCTTTAACAGGTTATGGTAAAAAAAAAAGGCCTTTTACTCAGTGAGTAAAAAACAGCAACACATTTCACCATCTCTAACCCTGCTTTCATCAGTCAGGAGTCCACTCCTATAAATAGTTTCAGCAGGAGGCCATTCTGAGAAGCCATCAGAGCCCTAATGGATGTGCTAACCAGAGCATGTACCCCACGAGCAGATCACGCCGCTCGCCACACACAGAGTCCAGCAGAGGCCCCCGGAGCCCATTACCTTCTCTCTAAGCCTGGTTAACCTTCCAATCTTCCGAGCTCTGTCGCTGGAGCACGGTACGACCCGGGGTCTGCAGCACAGAGCAAACACTCACTAGTCCTGAGTGAGTGGGACAGAAACATGCAGGGTCACAGTGGGAACAGCATGGTAAAGCTGTGGGTCTGAGGGGTGGAGGTGGAGGAGGGGGGGAGAGAGAATGTGAGAGGGGCTGGGCAGGGAGATAGAAGAGGGACAGCTGCAGAAATACACAGACGCTATAAATAGGATCTGCAGAGCCACATTAATTACCACTAGCACTTTCCCCTCCCCCCTCCCCACTTGGGTTTAGAGATGTGGGCTCCCCCATCAGGTGCTCAACAAACTTTTGTGTATGTTATTGCATTTTATAACGCAATTAAAAGATTGAGAGATGACACAGCAGTCACAGTCTCATTACTGAATTAGCATCACGTCAGTTTCACACAGGCATTTAAATGCAATGAAAGGAGCAACATATAGTAGATACTTTCAAAATAATGCTGATTTTAAGGCATTTTCTACTTTTAAATGGGAACTCTCACATGGGGAACATGTTTAGTGGCTCAAAATAAACACAACCGTGAAGAGAGTACTGTGAATCATTTCTCTGAAGTAAAAAATCAAATCTGAGAACAAGCTTTGTGTATGTATCTTATCACAAAGCATTTGTGTTGTCTTTCAGCACCAATATTTGTGTTTCTCTCTTAGATATATTTCCAGAACTATCAGAAATACAAAAAAACATTATACTGTTGAATTCCCATTATGTCAGCTACATATAGTTGTAGGTTTCTAGCCCTGTTTTGTACAGTGCAGTGGCTGAGAATAGACTACCCACCCTCACGTCTGTTTAATCAGGATTTTTAATCTGATCTGCACCGTCATAGATACCCACCTCCTAAAGATGAATGTTTTTTCATTAAATCCATGTATCACTGAGAAAATAACGAAAATGGTGAAAAACACCATCTCACAATATTGACAACAGCCCCTTGATCCGGATCTGCACAAGAATCGAATGGGTTGTTCCCTGACCCGTACATCATCCCTCCACAGAGTGTAGTTGTGATCTGTCAATTCACTTTGTGAAATCCTGCTAACTATCCGACAAATAAATAGGGGTGAAAATATAACCTCCTCGACTGAGTCAATAAAATCTTATTTCATATTCCATTCACCTCCATAATGACAGAGTGAGAAATCTGTGTCCGTGTGAAGATGGCACTATAACGTCCTCATCAAACAAGAAACCCTTTTAATTAAAAATACCAGTATTTCAGTGTTGACCTAAGACCACAACATGTTTTTAATATCTGTGGACGTCATGATCGTCACCATGAGTTTTAAACCACAGGATGGCGCTGTTAAACAATGTATTTCATCAGTCTAGTTCACAGACACTTCCTCTCAACCACACTACTGACCTAAATTCAAAATGTTGTATTGTTTGATGGCAACCACTTACAAGAGCGTATATATCACCAAGCAGTGGTGCAAGATACAGCAATATACACTCAGTCCATGTAGATCTGCAGTCACATTTCAAAATGACACACAGAATTTTCTGTATTTTCCCTATTGAAACAAAATGTTGTTTTTTTACAAGGCTGAAAATGAAAGAGTTGTCAGGCTGTAAAACCAGTTGGGTATAAACACATGTTACGTTGAGTTATCTTTAGGTAAAGGTATTCAGCTCACTGCTTCAAGGAGGAGTCACACAAAGAAAACAGTAAGTAGCAACAGGCCTGGCTGGGCAGGGATGAGTTAATCAGATCCTGGGAGGCTCTCTTCCTCATTTATAGATTGAATTATTAAATAAACACCTCTTGTGTACAATGAATCCTGTGACAGCAACTGTTTGTCTGTTTGCCTATTTTAATCAGACCCAAAAGGAATCCAAGACGTTTATTTTTCCAATTTTAATTCAAATGTGCAAGAATTGAGCCTTAAACAAAAATAAAATTGCACAGTCTGATATAAGGCTCACACCACAAGTTCATATATGCACACACACACACACTAAGCGAGTTCAAGCCAAACACAGCCGAGCTGATCTGTCTAGCACAGTCTGCTAATCCCCAAAGTCAGTCACTGGGACACATCATCACGTCGACTGTTTGCCCACACAGTGCAGACCAAAGATTAAGGACTCTATACATTATAAACACTGATGATTGTGACCCAGTTAAATGCATCCATAACAAATCATACTGTGAATTGTTGTGTACTATAAACAGGAGTTTGATATAATATTTTGAGCTTGTAAGAAAATACACCATGCATGATTCTTTCATCGTTTCCCTAAAACCATAGCTAATATCTTCCTATTTATTTTTCTAATTTCAGAATCGGAAAAACAATTCTCTTAAAGCATCTTTTATTT